ATAATATTTTGTTAGTTCTGTTAACTGATTATTAACTCTATTAATTTTATTAGTTAAAAGTAGATTTTTATCGATTAACAATCAACTAATAGAGTTAACAATCAGTTAACAGAAATACTATTCTATTAATTGACTGTTAATTCTATTAGCTGAATGTAGGTTTTTGTCAATTAATAATTATTTAACATTTAACTAATAAAATTAATAGTCAGTTAATAAAACTAACAAAATATTATAAGCAAAGATTATTTTTTTAAATTTTAATAAATAAAAAATTAAAAATATTATAATATAATATATGAAACTAAAATTTATAAATTTAATAAAGCAAAAGGTTCCAATTAAGTTTTTGCCCCAAGATGGAGCCACCCGATTCAAACCTATTAAAACAATGTGCGTTCCAATATTGGGTGCGCGAGATCCTTCGCAATTACTAATTACAATCCGAATCAATCCATCAGAAAGGCGAAAAGGGATTATCAGTCCTTAAACACTGCAGTTGTGGATTATTCCCCCTAAATATTTTTTTGTGTAAAATCAGCCCCTAAACTGCTGGATTGTGTAAAATCGGCCCATGACGTCACCTTGCTGTCCAAAACAGGCTTTCCTCCTGCCCTATGTACTCCAGAAGCTTACGTGGATCCAAATTTGTTGAGATGGACTTATGGCTAAGTCTGGTTGGAAAATTTTTTATTTCCAAAACTCAAAAGATGTTATATTTTGGAATTATTTTCAGTTTTCTGCCACTCCTTTCTAATCTAGGGTTTAATTTCTTCCCTAATTCCTTGAAATGATTAATCTGCCAAAAGCCCTCACCTCATGCTAAGTTGCACCCTGGAGAATGGGAATAAAATTCTTTAAGAAATCATGTGTTGTCTTTATTTTTGGTAGTAATGTGCTCTATTTCTATCTTTATTTTTTAGAAAGAAATAATTGTGAAGATCAAAAAAACTTTTTATCACATAAATATGAATTAAGAGAAAGTACAAAACATTCAAAAAAAAAGCCTACTACAATTGAAATTTATAAGTGATAACATTAACCATATATCTTGAAGTTTTAATTTATTTTATAAGATTCTACATATTTTTTTCCAACAAGCTGATAACTTCTTTTTGTTTTTATTCTGAATTTATCATCATCACCTCTTCAAAAGGTAATTCTATCACTAGTTTAAGGCCCTTTTCACTATAGTAGTCATGCAATCCCCTAAAAGAAGTTTTATTTATATAGCTGTTTCTTGTAATGTGGCACTCAAATTCACACATCTCTCTTGATATTTGAAATAACTTACACAGACTAAAAGTAATCCCAAAATATAACGTCTTTGTATGAGGGCTATTTTGGAAGTCAATAATTTTCCAACTGACATAGCCATGCTGGCATTTCTTAAATCCGTGTTCGCAAATTTGGGTGCAGGTATGCTGTTGGGGTCTATAAGGCACGAGGTCCGACTGTTGTGGTCCTTGTGGGTGGATAGGGATGGCAACGGTCTCATGGAGGTGGGGATCCCTCCCCATCTCCATCCTCATCAAT